AAAGGCGAGGCTCACCACCCATTTATCCCTCCGCCTTTCAATTAGCCCCACATGTGATTATCGGCCAGGTTGGCACAATTAACTAACTCAGCCTCATTTTCCAGGTTTCTTAACCATATTATTAAAATTATAATGTTTACATTTTAAAGAAATAGAGGAGGAGCATTTTCTCCCCACTTGGCCAGATTGTCTCCCTCATGTGTAAAGACTCAACTATTAATCAGATGAATATTTTTTCTTTTTCTCTTCCTCTTCCTACTTCCCTCTTCTCTCACTCCCTCCTGCCCATCGATTTTTACAAGAATGTGTTCATCACGTATCTCTTCCAAAGAGCACCCAACACATGTTTCATTTCTATGTTCTCAAACTGAGCAGTAGAACAGGCTTGCTTTTTGTTCTTTTAAAATCTGCGACTAGGTAATGAAAGTAAATAAAGTCACTTCTTGCAAAAGTAATTGCTTACAAAGTATTTTGCCTTAAAATTATGTACAAACTACCAAAGATTAAATTTCTTAAAGATTGAACCAAAGTGACTTTTACTTTAAAATATTCTAAATCAACAGATATTCCAAAATATGGAGAACGCATTTTGAACACCATAAAATATGAGTGTTAAATATTTTAGAAAACATCTGATCATTGGCATTCATAATGTCAAATCGCTGAATGCATTTGAACAATCTAAACTGCTAAATATTTCTCTTTTCCACCAGGTTTTGCCATGACAATATATTTTCTTCTCGTGTAACAATGTTGTCAACAGCATGCAGTTTTACCTCGTGAACCCAGAGGCGTTTAATCACTTCTTTGGTTTCTGCTGTTTCTGGTCTTGACAAACAGACACCCTGGATCACCCGAGAGAAATCACGGAGGTTGAACAAGTAGTGGGACTTGGCCGGAGTAGGCAGCAGATTCTTCATTGCTTCTTTATACAGACTCATTGTAGCATTAACAATCTGTGCGGTCAAATCTAGAAATTCTTCTGGGAATTTATAACTTAAAAAAAAAACATTTAAAGGAAGAGAAAGGAAAGCGTTAGCAAACAATGATAACATACATTTAGCATTGATTTATAAAAATCATCATATTTCTTATTATCATAAAAGCCAAGGGGTGTTTACTCTTTTAAAAGAATCTTTCCATTCACTAATTTATGTTCCAAGGAGCCCATGAAATAGGAAGGACTTGCAACTACTTTAATAAGTAAATAGAAGAACCAGTCAAGGGTCCGGCATATGGGTTACTCCAGATGCAGTGTGTACGAGAGACAAAGTCTTGTCAATGTCGCTCAGTCCCAGGCTTCCCTAGAAGCATATACAGTCCTCCTTAAATGCTGGTGAGGTGGGTTATGTTCAGAGAAGCACGTAAGGAAATATACCCCCCCCCAAAAAAATTAAAGAAAAACAGAAAGGGAGGGGAGACATCGGACAGGGTAAGACATGTCAAAATAATCATTTATAAATTATCAAGGGTTCATGGGGGGTGGGGGTGGGAGGCGAATGAGGAGCTGATACCAAAGATTCAAGTAGAAAGAAAATGTTTTGAGAATGATGATGGCAACATATGTACAGATGTGCTTGACACAATGGATGGATGGATGGATTGTGATAAGAGCTGTATGAGCCCCCAATAAAATGAATTTTAAAAGAAAAACAGAAAGGTGAAAAGAGCAGCCAGCCAAGATAAAAGGGCAAGGGTCATTGATAGGTTAGAAGAAGAGGAGCAAAGAATATTTGGAAAGAGGGAGGGTCGTTTAATCTCTGGTATGACAAAGAGGCAGCTGTCTGCCTCCCCCAGGACGGTAGACGTCAGAGGATGGAAATTTCCTGAGAATGAGCGTCAGGAAGCGGAGTGGCACTGCCCGGGTCTCTGCTTGGCAACCTGACCCTCCTGCACTTGGCTGAGTCTCACTGTGTAGCCCGAGCCAGGGAACAGGGTGCCCACCCCCCCCCCCCCGCGCCCGAGGCAGAGGCTCCAAGGGGCAGTGGTAGGATTTTTGCCTTCCACGTGGGAGACCTTGACTTGATTCTCAGTCAGTACGTCTCATGCGAAGCCACCACCATTTTGTCAGTGGTAGTTCGCACAGCGGCACTTTGAGACTAAGATGGACTAGGAAGAAAGTCCCAGTGATCTAATTCTAAGGATCAGCTAATAAAAATCCTGTGAATCACAATGGACCAATCCCCAATTGATGGTGTGGGAGTGTAGGAAGACAATCCTTTGTTCCACTGTGCATAGGGTCACCGTGAGTCAAAGGTCAACTGGGTAGCAGCTACCAACAAAAACCACAGAGTCCCCAAGGCTTAGACTTCTTGAACTGGGGACGGAAGACCTCTGCAGGTCCCAATTCTCCTGGACAGTATCAAAGTCACAGGATGAACAAAGCATATATCATTCAGAGAGGATTGATTGTTCTCAGTGGTAAAATCCCAACATACTATTAGTTAAGACCCACTGAACAGTATTATCCATTAGAATTCAAATTTCTTTATAGGCTTTTAGGTCAAAATCCACAACGTCAGCTGAAAAAGAAAAAGGGACTCTGATCCCCGTGTGTTATATTCCCATGGCTGGATGTGGGAGGAGGCAAAGAAACCAGATGATATTTGTTACCTTTCCCATGTCTGGGAATGTTTTCGTGGAGAAAGTGTGAGAAACGTGAGCATTGCTATTCCGTAACGGATATACTGCCAGAAGATTTTACACTGCCCAACGGATAAAAAAAAGACCACCTTAAATTACTTACCAGATTTTAAAATGCCAGTGTAATATTCTAGAGAAGATTGTATACATGGATTTATCACTGAAATCATTGATTGTTATAATGTTGAAATGTCTCATGTATCGAGGAGTTACTGGATTTCGGCCACCACCTAAATATTAAAAAGAAGAACTCTTAGGGAGGGGAAGGCCTGCCTCTCAGAGTGCACCGAAGGGTGGATTACTCCAGACGCAGTTAGGTGAACATGTGACACCTGTCTCTTGATTCCCCTTTGGTCTATTGTATGTTTATTTCAGTTTTTTTAATTTTCTGCTTTCTTTTCAATTAGGATTTTTCTGTTTCATCTTATCATTCTTATTGGGCTTGTTGTTTTTCTTGGTTTTGGTTTTGCAAGTTTTTCTGTATGTTTATCTATAGGGGTAATAACTGGATTATTAATCTCCTAGAAGCATGCCAGGAGATATGGGAGGGCAATGGGGGGCTAACAACGAGAACAAGAAAGAGGAAAATGTCCTAAAATTGATTGTGGTGATGATTGCACAGCTCTTTTTAATACAATTGAATGAATGAATTGTGTTAAATATGAATTATATGTCAATAAAACTATTAAAAAAAAGAAGAACTCTTAGCAATACTATTAGTCCATACCAGAGATTTTTCTAATTTAAAACAACTTGAAAGATGATTAAATTGATAGCACAGAAAAGTCAAGGGAAATAAATTGTTAAACTATTATCCTAAATCTGTTTTCCCATTAAACTTAAGGGGTTGTATTTCTAATTAAATCACCTGAGCAAGTTAAATTAAGTCTAACTTATTTATATATTATCTCAAGACAGGTCTTGTTACCAAAGAAGATCAGAGTAGGCAGAAAGGCACAATCCATAGGTCACCAAGACCTCCAGGGCTCATACCTTTCACCTTCCACAGCAGCAACCTATAAGATTCAAGATTACCTTTCATGCAACATTAAGATAACCCAGGTGAACTCAACTGACCGTATTTTAGGGTCACTTCCCATATGACTGAATATCAGCATGCCCCAGGCAAACGGCCAACTCCTTTCCCCAAACCATGAAAAGGATTTCTCTAAGAATCATCTACCTGCCTTATGAGCCATTGCACTGGCTTCACTTTTTAAAAAAATTGGGGTTATTATGACACTTTCATGAAAGGATTACATTTTCAAACTGATTCAGGATTTAGCAATCATTTTATAAATTTAGCATTACCATTGTTACAGTAAAACACATTACATTTACTTTTTCAAGAAATCAAGTCAGGAAATCTCGGGTAAAGGAATTATTTTTAAAGTGAATGATAGCTCGATGATCTATTTTACATAAATTGTATAGTTTATTATTTATTTAAGGCCAGGTAAATCTGTATCTCCTGCCTATTACTGAACTGTAAATTATCCCGTGCTGTTTCTGAAAGGTGCACAACGGGAAAGCATAAACCTTGCAGCCACCAGTCTTCAGAGTAAAAGAGTTATGTGTGTATGGATTTATAAGTTTCTAGAAAACAACATCCCTCACTGGGCAAGCCTGCTGCACAAGATCTCTGTAAATTGATGAAAAGCCAAAACGTCACTTTGCAGACTAAGGTGCCCTTGACCTAAACCACGGAACTTTCAATCCCTCATGTGCATGTCAAAGTTGGGCAAGGAATAAGGAAGATGCTAAATGTGTCGATGCCTTTGAATTGTGGTGATGGCCAAGTATATGGAAAGTACTACGGACAGGCGGGAGGACAAACAGAGCTGTCTTGGAAGAGGTACCATCAGAATGCTCCTTAGCAGCAAGGATGTTATCAAGAGAGACCAGTTCCTGGAAAATAGAAGGGGAGAGAAAAAGAGGAAGACTCTCGACACGATGAACTGATACCGGAGCTGAAGCACCACCATTGTGAAGACGGTGCAGGAAGGGCAGCACCGTTTCTTCCTGTGGCCCCTGGGGTTGCTGGGAGTTGCTGACTCAGGAATCTGGAGTTAGCACCTAACAGCAACAATAAATGCTGATTTAGTTGAGTCAGTGGAAGGTGTGTCCCGGGAAAGGTGAGCAATCATCTGCCTCCCGAATTTGCCTTCAACTCTTCCTCCCAGAGAACATTCAGAAACTGGTATTTTTAGGAAACGGGATCAAAGAGTAACTCACAAATTCAGGCTCCTCCCTGCAGTAGTGAAGATGACAGGGGTAAGTGGTGCAAGTGCAAAAACCCAGCTTTGTGGGGGGTGGGGGGGTGGCAAAGAAGGGCAAAATAAAACTGAAATCTGAGACTCAGAAGCCACAGAGTCTCTGGTTGAACAAAAAGGAAAGGTGTTGTTCAAAGGGCCCCAGGTGCTCCCTGATGAAGGCTTTTTAAAATGGAATTTAAACCGGGATCAGGCGAGAACAGCTCAAAATATTTAGTTAGTCAAAACAAATCATCTTAGAAACTCCAACATATAAAAAAATCCCTGCAGAGATTTCTTCAACTGTGTAATTTCTCTTGGAAAAGGGAAAGGGCCTTTAAGGGTTCCTGGGGGCATGATAAGTTACGAGCTAGGCTGCTAACCTTGGGAAAGGATGAGGTTTTCTACTCCCACCAAGGTCATTGCCGCAGAAATCCACAGGGAGCAGTCGGACTCTGTCCTAGGGTCGCTATGTGTTGGAATCGACTCGATGGCAGTGAGTTATTTCTACCATTTCGTATTGAAATTCCTCTGAACAGCCTGTCTAAATATGGACACACATTAAAAGGGGAATTGACAGGGGTTGAAAATGATGATTTCTGAAGCTGGGACACTTCATACAGTGGAAGTATTAAGGAATGAAACAGAGGAAAATAAGTGGCCCTATGGCCTTGGGGCTCTCAGTGTGCAGAAAACGGGAAATAGAGTTGCAGGAAATGTAGGAGAAAGGATTTGGTAGCTTGTAGAAGAATGGTCCCCACCAAGGCCACCCACTTTGCAAGATTGACCGCTTCTCAGGCCAACTGTGGTCACTCCGGAAGGTCAAAATATCTGCACACAGAAAACATATCCACAAAACATTTTAACTTAAAGTGTGTTTGACTGGGTTTGCCTTTGTTTCTAGGTATCTCTTTAGGTATCACTAGAGTAACTGTCACTCACAGAAAATTCAAACGCAGAGACTGTACCTGGAGGCCCCATAGCACACATGATTTGAATGTCCACTAGTTTGATCACAGAGCAGTCCTTTAGATCATACCAATTCCAGTGATCTAACCACTGTCTAAGTAACTCAATGGGTGGTTGGGCCCCATACACCTCTCGAGCTGGCATATTGACATCGTCTACAAAGACAACCTGAGAATGCAAAGAGGAGAAGTATTTTAAAAAGTTTACATCTTAAACTAGTGGCCTGTTTTAAGCATGTAATAAAAAAAGTTGAGGCAAAGAATTCTATTGTTTTCTTGAAGAGTCTGTCGGTGTTAAGTGGCTATTTCCTTTCCAATCAGGAATAAACCTTACTTAACATCATTTCCTAAGGCATCAACTTCATTGAGGACTAGGGAGCCGTTATCATTCCTTACCTGTATAGGTTTAGTTTAGGACTCATTCATCCTTTTATAGAATTTGTTTCTTAATGCAGTTGGCCTTTCGTTTTCTTTGTACAACTCTCATACATTAAAATGAACCTGAAAGATGTGATTTTTAAACAGTTCCTCCCTTTGCATGGTGAGGGTGAGGTGTGTCAACTGGAAGGTGGGTTGTTTGCAGACATGGAAGAGTAAGCAACAAGGATTCAGGGAGAGTGAAAATGTACTTGTTATTGAGAGAATTAGAAAGGTAGGTAAGTTCACCAGTAAACACTCCACCTCCAATTCCAATAAAAACCACGTGCTTATAATGTTTCATTATCTAGGAAAAGCACACATGTAATCACAAATGTTAGAGGCTGAATCAAAATTTGTGATTAAGAATCCAAAATGGATCAAACAGGGTAAAATCATGTAGAATCTAGCATCCTGCATGGATTCCCTTGTCTTTAATGTAGCAGCATTCATGAACAGGCCCAGAGTTACATTTTGTGCACAAAAGGCAGACATTACCATTCTCTTGCCCAGAGGAGGACCAAAAACTCCCTTTCTCCTTTTGTCCAACTTGGACATGATGATATTCTGAGTTTGAGCTGCCGTCGTTTGTGCTGAGAAGTTAATTAGCAGAGGCTTGTAGATTTCTTTATTGAGTTGATTTAGAAGAAAATTCTACATAACAGGAAACAACAGAAATATGCCATAGTTAGAATTAGGTTTTGACGACATAAACACTAAACATCACTGTTGACAGACTCAGACTTCCCCTTAGAGCGTTATAACGATCTAAAAAAGACAGCATCGAGAGGAGTAGCAGGTACCATATCTGTGAAATGCTACCGGCTACCCAGCCTCCACGCAGGTGGCTTCTCTGAGGGTCCCAAGAGCCATACGGACCACTCATCCCTTCTTAGTGTGAAGACATGGAGCGTCAGAGATTGAAACATCTGCATCAGGTTCCGAGAGGGGCAGGAATCCAGACTGCCATCTCTCGCTCTCTTGATCAATGTTCTTCTTAGTATGCCTCCCCACAACGGATAGATCAAACCACGTGACTGGAGGAAGATTAAGTAATATCGTCACGTTTCCAAAATGGAAGGCACAGAAAAGCAGAAGCAATTACAATCGGTCTTCCTCTGCTTCTTTTTCAAAGATGCTGTGGAGGAAGGATGAGGGCTATCAAATGTCTTGAGCTCTTCCAGAGAGGCGTGTCTCTCTCACCCTGCCTTGGTCTCTCCCTCTCAAAGCCCTCCTCCCCTTAGGGAGGGACAACTGGTTAGAAAATCTAAATCCCATTTTCTAGATAAGTGCTACTATCACATCCTGGGCATCTCCGGTGGCATAACGTGGTATGCATGGGGCTGCTAACCACAAGGGAAGCAGTTCAAAACCACCAGACTCTCAATTGGGTGGGTGGGGGGGGGGGGGGATGAGATTTTCTATTCCCATAAAGATTTACAGTCTCAGAAACTCACAAGGGCAATTCTACTCTATCTTATAGGGTCACTATGAATCAGAATCAACAAAAGAGCAGTGAGTTAGGGTTTATCACATTTCTTTCAATCATTCCATATTCATGTGAAAGTTGGACATTGAATATGGAAGACCCAAGTAAAATCAGTGCATTTGAATTATGGTGCTGACAAAGAATATTGTAAGTACCATGGACTGCCAAAAGAACAAACAAATCTGTCCTGGAAGAAGTACAGAATGCTTCAATGGCAGCATGGTAAGACGTTGTCACATACACTTTGGACATGTTATTAGGAAAGACCAGTCCCTGGAGGAAGACATCATGCTTGGTTAAAGGAGAGGGACAGCATAAAAGAGGAAGTCCCTCAACAAGATGAATTGAAACAGTGGCTGCAAGAACAAGCTCACACATAGAAGCCACTGTGTGGAGGACGCAGGACCAGGCGGCGTTTCCCTCTATTGTAAATAGGATGGTGATGGGTCATACGTGAGCCAACAGTACCTAACACAGAAGCCACACCACTTGGGTAAAAGAAGGCAAAGGGTGAACTAGCTTTTGCATGGTCCAAACTTTACGTTCACAAAGTGCTTCCAGAATTCAACTTTACTGTGTGTAAGATATTAGATTATTAAACAAATATATCAGAGGGTTAATATCTGATATAATTTCTGTTTTCATAATGTGATTGCACGCAGATCAACATTTTCATAATGAACCACATATTTTGTAACTACAGTTTAAATTATTAACTAATGTATCAAGGAAACACCTAAATTTTTTGGAAAGGGAATTTTATGTCCCTATTACTAAGTGTGGGAGAAATACGAGGCTTTCTACTCCTTAAAGAGTTACGCTTTCAGAAACCCACAGGGCAGCTCTACCCTGTGCTCTAGGGTTGCTATGAGTTAGAATCGACTCGATGACAGTGAATTTGATGATTACTATTAACTACATTCAGTGGACATTTCAGCAGTCATTGTTACTACGTGCCTCTAAATCAATCTTGACTCATGGTGACCCCATGTGAGAGCGAAACTACTCCATTGGATAGTCTCGGCTCAACCCTAAAGGGTCATGAGTCAGAATCAGCTCAATGGCAGTGAGAAGCTTTGTGGGTTAAGCATCAGGCTGCTCACCAGAAGGTCAGCCATTCGAACCCACTAGCCACGTCTCGGGAGAAAGCTGAGGCAGGCTGTCTGATTCCATGGAGATGTTTTACAGTTTGGGAAGCTCCCAGGAACACTTCTACTCTGTCCTATAAGGTCTGTATGAGTTGGGATTGATGATGACAGTGGATTTTATTTTGTTTGACTCCTTACAGGAGGAGATGCCACACCTTTCTCCCATAGAGCCACTGGGTGGGCTTGAACTATTAACTTTCCAGTTAAGCATGTGGGAATATCAGAAAGAATGTAAAAACCTGGATGAAAGACTAATTTTCACTCCATTTGCCAGTCAGCAGGAGCTATTTCCTTCTTTGAGAATCCTTTCTCTTGCAAGGAATGAATACATTCTAAAAATCCTTGAAGAACTTGTTTAAACTCAATTTGACAGCTAAAGTAGAAAACTGCAGGTAGAGACAACAATTTAAAAATGTAATAATCTTTCCTCTCATCATTTTCCAATTAAAATGCCTCCTTTCCTAATTCACCATTTAAGCATACGTGGTAGAATAGTACCTAAAAAGAAAAGTAGTTGAAAAGGCTATTTTGCATTTTTAATAAAAGAACTCTTTGTTCTAAGTATAATAAAAGGGCCTATGATATATCTATATAGAGCAAATTCAACCAAATGTTTACATTAATAGCTTAAGACTTTCTAAAAAGTGCATTCACTTTGCTTGCCTATATGGTATATAATAATAATATAGTTACATAATACAGTTAAATAACTTTATTACAATGTATTTTTTTCTTCTAGTTTATAACAGCAGTCACATGGAGGTGAATTAAGAACCACTGAGTGTTTGATATGACTGGGGAGATGCTAGAAGGATGAACGGATGAGCAGAGTCAATGACAGAAGCATGAAAACAGAGACCTTCTTAAGAAAGCAGAAGGCCAGGGAAGGCTTCACAGTGTGCACAAGCACCACAGGGAAGCAGGATTCAATCTATCTAGAATACATGTGACATTAAACAGGCCTCTTAAAAGAGTTCATGCAAAGTATTAAAAAGAATTTATCCACACTACATTGAAATCTTGTGCCTCCCAGTCTATCTGGTCAGAAATGGTGAGGGGCACGGGGCAGGAGCTGTCTGCTACTTGTCCTGGCTAAGTAGGGAGCGAAAGAAGGTCAGTCTACAGCTACGGTTCACAGGAAATACCGATCATTTTAAAAATCTGAATTTAGAAGAACAAATACAGACGTGAAAAAATGTTCAGTGTTTTAAAGTATACTAATAGAATCTCCAATAACATGAGTAAAATTGTAAATAATTTGCAGAGCCTTCTTAATCAATTGAAAGCACGAGCAGCAGATTAAAATTTTGTAAAGGGCATAAAAAAGCATACGGAAAATGTGACTGCAGAACCCTGACTAAGGATACTCATTATGACTGTGTACCAACCCGAAGTCAATTATGTGTTAAAAGAAAAAGAGGAGTCGAAGTCAGAAAAGCACAATGGGTAAAGACGAGTGTAGAGTGAGGCATGAACCTCTGCCTTGTGGCCCCAGGGAAGGCAGAGGAAGTCATATACGGCCACCCCCAGGCTGTTTGGTGCACCGGTAGTTTATTCTAAGAAAGAAGCCAAGACAAAAATGAAGTTTTAGTTATAAACATGTGGATTTCATTCTTATTTTCAAAGAATATTACAAAAATTAAAAACTTGAATGAATTATTGTATGATGACAGAAGTTTCTAAGGTCATTGAAAATCATGTCGAAGAGTAATGAAATAGAAAATATTTCTAAGGATTTTTCAAAATTACAAAATAAAATGTCAAGTATGCTGGAGCTTGTAAACTAACAATGTATTTTGCCTGAGCTTAACTGGATGGGGGACAAATGACAAACCTGTTTCCTAGCTGCTGTCTTTAACCATAGCAAGTCTCCATTCCCTGACTCTTGATGAGACTTCCATTCCTAAGCATCCTGTCTACTTCCAATTGTTTGTTTAAATTCAGGCCAAATCCACAGCCCAACTTAAAATCTCAGTCAAAACTTTTCTCCTGTTCTCTTGGATATTATCTGATACATGCAAACATTTCATATAAAGATATCATTTCAAGGCATTATGAAAGAAAATAATGCAATAAATGATAGGAAGACAATTATTTAACTATATATGTAAATATATTCCAGGATGACTAAACTACTAAATTAAAATATAAAATCAATAAAGAACTAGAAATAGGTACTGACATAAGCTAGAGGAATGTGAATTGTCTGGGAACCTGCAGTGAGAAGTGTTATTGTGAATTGCCAGCCCGTCAACTCAACTCACAGTGACCCCATATACAACACACCCACACACTACCCAGTCTGTGTGAGCCTCGTAATTGTTCTACTTGTAACCATTGATGCAGTCACTGTGTCAGTCTATCTGACTGACGGTCTGCCTCTTTTTCACCGACATTCGACATGTCCAAGCATGGTGCCCTTTTCCACGGACCAGTCTCTCCAAGGAACGTCTTGTCAGCTTCATTTCTAAGGAATCTTCTGGTTGTACTTCTTCCTAGATAGGTTTGTTAGTGCTTCTGGCAGTCCATAGTATATTCAATGTTCTTTGTCATCACCATAAGTCAAATGCTTCCAATCTTTCCCAGTCTTCTATATTCACTGTCCGACTTTTAGATACATGGAATACTATTGAAAATAGCACGGCTGGTGTCAGGTGAGCCTTAGTCTTCACGGTCACATTCTTGCTCTTCATCACTTTCAAGAGGTTTTGTGCGGCAGGTTCCCCCAGGATAGCATATCGTTTGCTCTCTTCTGCTTCCATGATCATTGATTGTGGATCCAAGCAAGATGAAATCCTTTACAACTTCTATCATTTCTCTCTTGAACATGATGTTACCTATTGGTCCAGTGGTGTGGATTTTATAGTGGAAGAGGGACCACCAGTGGTTCCTGCATTTGCCACCACCTTCTTCCTTTGATCTTGTTCTTTCTCCCCGCCCCCACCTGACCACGGGAAACTTGCACTTGTTTGCCTTGCCAAAGGCTGAGTGTGGTAGTTGGGTGCTTTAATGTTAACTAGACACTCGTGGCTAGGGGTCCAGTCAAACCTGCCAATCAAGTAGCCTTCTAGGGGATGTAGCCTTTCGAATGAGAGTGAGGGCTTCTCATACTGAGACTCTGTCTCTCTTTCTGCCGCTTCACCTTCCTCCTTGCTAGGAATTTGGGCAGACTCTGGGTCTCCCTCCAACCTCCCCCCCCCCCACTCACCTTTGTGGGCCACCTGACCTTGAGAGAAGTTAGCACCCTAGCATGCTTTCACTGACCTTGGATTCATGCACCCTCTAGCCTGTAATATTCCTGATTCCGGCTTTACTGTCTGTCTCACCAGTCTGCAGCTATGTGAGTCTGAAGAGGTCCTTGGCTTGTATCCGAATTATGGATTAGAATTGGACTGGGCTAGGATGCCTTCTTGTTATTTAATCAGTTCTTGATATAAAGTTCTTTCTTATACAAAGATGAGTACCACGGGGTTTGTTTCTCTCAACAACTCAGCCTAACACAGTGAAAGAAATACTTCAGGTTCCGCGAGCTTCTGTTTTCACACATCTGAAACTCGCATGAGGCACTCACTAGTCTCTGATCATTATGACCCCCAAAATCAAGGGAACATGGACTGTGTAATGCCACTGAGATTTGGGACTTTTATCTGTTACAGTCGTTAACATTACCTTAACTACCACACAGTGAATAGATGCGTGATTCCAGAAATTATAAATGACATTATTACTATATTACATATATCCCTTTAGATATTTAATAACTCAAAAATTAAATACCAAGTATAATGAACTAAATCACATTTTCAAGGGTATGATTAAAATACCTAGAATACAGGGATAACAATTCAGTGATATAAAATGACATTATCTCTTTAAATAATTTCCTAAAATAAATAGACAATTTCTAAAAAGTTCTACTTGGTACAACCATCCAATTACTTTTTATTTTTAAGGACATAAGTCCATTACATGAGGAAGTTTAAAAATAACACTCTCATGAATATTGTGCCTATTTGATTTGTAGATTTTAACAGTACTCACAATAATATAAACACTTTTCCCCGTTCCTGTTGGCCCTACAAATAATGTAGGCTTTTGGTGAGTGGTCAGCAACTCCATTAAGGCAGAGCACTGGATCGTGTCCAGAGTCGGGACAATGATTTCGTTGAACAGCATATCTTTCGGGATTGGAGGCGCATTTTCTAATTTCTTTTCCCATGGCTCCCATCTTCCTATTCCCTGTTAAGGAAAAGCAGTCATATACTGAATGTTATGAAATAGTTTTTCAAGTCTCCACTGCTATATAATTGTAGATGAGAATCAATGCCAACAAATCTTAAATACAATTGTTCTTCTCCTTGTATACATTTCACTGTGAATTTGCAAGTTAAATTTTTTGTGCAAACTAAGGCGAAATTCAGCTTGAAGACGCATTAAACTAAAAGGGCTGTGCTGTTTGTTGTTTGTTTGTTGTCACTGTTTATTCCGATGCAAAGGTGAATTATTTGGGCCAAATGTTAGGATTCTAGTGAAATTAAGAAAAGTATGCAAAAAAAACTAATCAATGGATTACATAAATAAGCAAAGAATTTTATTAAATAAATATTAGCTAATATAAACTTATTTTCTCCCTAGGACAGCTGCTGCACACAGGTTGACGTATATAATGGTGTTTGTTGAATCAGCTTATTATTTCAGTTAAGATTTCTTAATATAAGATTATGATGACGATGAACCACTATTATCCTGTACCATTATATTCAGTTAGCATCTAATAGCAAATGGAAATATTGTGTTTCTGTGGCCATTTTTATACTAACAAGTCCATGGTAACACTTTCTCTTTAGAAAAACCATGCCACCCACTCCATTTTTACAAAAAACCAAATACACGCTCCATAGTCACACTGTAGGTCTAGAAATGAACTCACCATCATGGCTCAATAGGTCTAGAAAGGGACTGATAACACGAGTGAGATCAAAAGGGCAGCCTTGAGCCAAGGCTAAAGTTCAGAAGGGTTAGGAATAAAGGAAGCAGGGAAGCGGAAAGCTGAGAGGAAATGGGATAAGTGGTCTTACATTGTGGGGGTTGCAATCAAGGACATGAAACAAAATGTGTATGCACTGCTGAATGGAAAGTTGATCTGCCCTGCAAACCTCCACCTGATATACAGTAAACAAGTTTTTTTGTTTTTTGTCTTTATTAAATAAAGAAAACCAAATTCCTGAACATTCAAAGCACATCAGGATTCAGACATCAGCATATGTTCCACCGCCCAGCCTATGAACCTGCTGGTCCCAAATATGGTCCTGCCCCCTTAAGGCATTATATTCCCTTGGCCTTAAGTCTTTTATGAAGAGGTTACAAAGGGACTGGATGAGAGTGTAAGCAGCCACATTTCTCCAGGCTCATGATAATCACAGTCTGGAAGACCGACTCCAGTGGGAGAAGGCTCTCATGGTTATGACATGAAAATGACTCTTAACACATACTCTCACGACTGAAAACATCCCTACAATATCCCTCCATAAAGGAGCTGTCATAAAAGATGCACCAGGCTGCTCACTATGCGCCTAAGGTTATCTGTAGTTAAGAGTAATCAGATTCTATTGCCGTCCCACCCCAAAGAGTAGCTAACCCCCTGTGACATCTCCTTATCATATGAATCATAGGTTGTTCCCCTGGGGAGGGCACAGGGGCATAGTAGGTCAAGCCACTGACTCATTCTATTACTCACTTATTCTATTACCCCTTCACTCTATCACATATTCACTCCATTATGTGTGTGCCTGTTGAAAGATTTGTAAGCTTCATGATGCTATACACCCACTGGAAAATATACTCGTTCTCTTGGTCCCAACATCGGGAGGAGCCCCTTTGCCTTGCTTGTCTAACTGTCTCATTTTCCGTAATTGCACCACCGGTCCTAAGGACTCATGCAGTTTGTGGGACCGGAATCCACAAGCACCGTGCTCTGTTCACTTTTCTATCCTTGAACAAAGGATATTTATTTATTTATAGGTGGCTAAATTCACAACTGTGTTAGACAGGGTTCTCTAGAGAGACAAAACCAGATTGCTAATAATATACATATATACATCACAAGAAATAAACAGTTAAATTATAAAACAGTACAAATGGCTCAGTATAATTCAAACGTGTTAGAGAGTTGTGAGACATTAGCAGTCCTTCAAGTCTTGAGGGCTGCCAGGGAGTCCTCTGTAGAGAGAATCAGTCTATCCCAGCACAGGCAGCAAAGAGCCAGGCAGGTCATCAACCATCAGCCAGGTCACCAACAGTCAGTCCCCAGCTCCAGGGATATACATTCCAATTCTATGGTGAGGCAGGTCTTAAAGGGACCTCAAATTACAGCGACACAGTCCATAGGTTAGATGTCCCACTGGTAGTGTAGCTTGCAAATTGAGGCACAGAACTAGCAAGGCAGCCGCACATTGGTCTGATGATCAAAGAGCAAGAGACAAGCCATTTATCTCTTCACCCTTCAGTTAATCCCACATGTGTTTATCGGCCAGGCTGGCACAATAAACTAACTATCTCAACAACTGTCTGAAAATTATATTGCAAAAAGAAGAAAAAAAAAACCAACCCTGAAACAGATGTAGAAGTACGGATTGAGAGTCTGAGACCCGTAGTGTGGAATCGTTGGGAGATGGATCCCGGCAGACCGCTGAGCGTGTCTAAGCCTAACCCTCCGCAAGCACACGTCTACAAAGAACCCGCTGTGGGTGCTTCACTGCGGGGTGAGGGGGACCAAACAACCATGGCAGCTCCGCTCACTTGTAAGCACTAGTAGCACTTGTAAAGCATTAGTAGTCATTTAAGGCAAAATAAAATTAGCAAAGATAATATTTTGGACCAAGTATGTTGATGAATCCCCTCTGAGGTGAGCAAGATTCATAACAATTTGCAAATTGATCTGGCCATACCTTTTCTAAAATTTACCTTAAGGAAATAATCAACAAAGAGATTCACCAAGCAGTCTTTCTCCCTGTCAATGCCACGCAGAGCAACCCTGCAGGGCAGCATAGAACTAACTGTCCCAGGAGGGTTCCGAGACTGCAACTCGGGATGGGCGAAGAAGCCCGTCTCCCTCCTACAGAGCAGTGGGGGGTTTGAAGTGTCCTGCGCAGTCCGAGGTGTAAACATCAGGGCTCCGGAAACAGGACTTACAAACAACCCCCTAACAATACAACAGCCTAAATGTGGAAGGGTCAAAAAATAGATCGTGGCTCATCCATGTAAAATATAGACAGACCTTGAAAAACTGTTGACTAAAGAAATATTAATGGAATATATGTTTATTCAATGAAAAAGAAAAGATGAAACTACCCATTTGGGATAAGGTATGATCCTAATTTTACTTAAATCTATATACATTTAAACAGTATATACAAAACTTTCTCCTCGGTACAATACCTTTGGGAGCTATTATACAAAAACAAACATGCAAACAAACACCAACCAGGCTTTGTTGTCCAATTTGTAAAATGCTGAATTAACATTAAACCAGCTGCTTTCCTGCAGGACTTGTTACTGTCTATAATATACGAATGTATATCATGAATCCACAAGGTGTCTTTGAACATTATGTGCCTGGTGCTGAACTAGATATGCTATAACAGAATTTTATTCATTAAGTGTAACTGCCCCGTGGAGTGTTATTATTACCATGACATTTGATCAGTTAAGGGGGGGGTGGCCCCAGGGAGATCAATTAACTTGTCTGCGTTTACACAACCAGGAAGCAACTTGACTAGCACTCTAACATACCCATGTCCATCTTCAGAGGTGGGATTCAGCCAGTTCGCACCAGTTCCGCAGAACTGATAGCTAATTTTTTTTTCGAGTTGTGCAAACGGGTTGTTAAAATGGCATTTGGAATCAATTTTCTCTCTAAGGTAGGAGGCAGGGCAGCTGCCCAATGTGAAAATCACAAATTTGCTTTTCTTATCCTTTATTAACATTCATCTGCACACCGTGTATTCTAAGCACCTGTAGTAATGTTGAGTCCACCCATAGGTATAAAAAATTAGATGGAATTTTGCTTGTAATATTTATTAATAAAGCTCATTATACTTTTGATGAAATAGATTTGTATTCCCCTGCATGAGTTACTTCAGTAAACACACATAGGACATAAGGAGAGTAAGTGCAAATGGCCAGAAGGTGACACGCTGTCATTCGTTTCAGCTTTGTTGAAGCCCCAAAGTCTGAAGAGATACTATCAGTGCATTATACAATTCCAGAAAGTGTTCAAAGAGTTAAAATTATTGTTCAAACAATTACTGTAAGTTCAGCAGAGGCAGAAAGGGGTGTTTTCAAAGATGAACATAATATGTTCAGAGAAGAGAAGTCGGCTGTTTCTAATACATCACCCACAATGACTAGTGTCTAATTGACTTTCCTCTAAAGGAATGGGATTCCACTTCTACAGTGCAAAGATGGCTGAGGATAAATCACACAACCAACGAGGCTCAGAGGAAAGCAAAGAATATTGAGACAAAGGATATAAAGAACACACAGCTAAAGAAAGTGAGGACAGCCATCCAAAAGCAATATGGAAATATCTTAAATAACAGTTTATTGTCTTTTTAAATCGGGCATGATTTAATATTTTTTCATTAGTTTTTTCAAATTCTTCCCTATGATGTAACATACTTTTGTATGTTGTATTGTTTCTTATTTAAGTATTAGCTTTATGAAATAATAAACTACCTTTTAGTATATAATTTTTGATACTTAAAACAGTCATGAAGGTAGCAAACCTGTTGTTGAATTATTTGGATCCCACTACTGTCTGTCTTCCCCACCAGTGCATTTTCTTCCATCTGGCACTGACTGTCATTGAAGGTAAGCAGAGAAAAAGGTGGTGGCCCAGGCCCATGACAAGCTGTGTGAGTCTCAGAAGGAAATCTACCAGGTTGGCAGTTACCATTCTGCCTTCAGCACGCTTACCTCACAGATAAATTGGTAATCATAGACCGTTCCTTTCTCAGGAAACGGGACGGTCAGTGCCTTGGAGGGCAGCTGTTCCGGACTGCTGAGTAATTTGTACCGATTTCGAGTGACATCTGTGATTGGACCTTCCATTAACTCTCGAAGTATTTTACTAAATTTCAACCGGTCATCGTCTTTACAAGAAGCACCAACAGACCAGATTAATGAAAACAAAAAAATGCCCTGCAATAGAGAGATTAAAAAAGATGAAATGCATTCAAATATTAACTTTAATTTATCCCGAGGGTTAATGCAGACCATAAAGGTTATTTTACCTGAAAGGAAATACATAAGCTAATAGACAGCAAACATTTGGTTATCCCTGAATTTTGTAAAACTAGGTAGGGTTCTTTTTCAAATTATAGAATACAGTAGCTAATAGCATTTTAAACTCAGAGAAGGGAATACCAGGCAAAACATAAATTTCAGCCACAGTGAAATTCTGTTACCTCAAAATGACTAATCTATTAAAACCGTCGATTATTTAAATTTACATCAGGAATATGATAAAACAGACATTGAGATAACATTTCATTAAGCTATGAAAGCGTACTTTCGTAAAACAAACCTGACCCACACTCCCTGTCATGGAGTTGATTCTGACTCAAAGCCACCGTATGCAAAGGAGCAGGGCTTCCAAGCAAAGATATGGTACCCATGGTCTAATGGAAGAGATTGCGATGCCGTGCTCTGAGAGCAAACAAATTTCTATTCTCTTATGAGGCTCTTTAAGTAGTTTCATCATTAAAACTGTATTCCCTCGGGCAAAAAACACTAGCTTAAAGAGGAGACCCATTACTAGATGAAAATCCATGCCTGCCATTCTAAAATCACATCTTTTTTAATGCCAAAGCTAGTATCATCTTTGTGCTCATAAAAGTCTTAGCCTCTACTTTAGCCCTGGTCACGTGGTCCTAGTTACTCAGATACTATTATCGAAACTATTTTCAACTAAATGAACATGAAATAATTTCATAAAATGAAAGCTACAAGAGTACACATTGACTAAGCTCTGTTACTATTTACATGGCTATTTTAAAAAATCTGTTTGGAAATTATGTTTTCTTGACTTTGTCAGAATAAAGATTTATTAATATTAACATCAGAATATTAACATAATTATATTAATTCTATACCAGTATATTATAATTATTGTATTAGTATATTGGTGGTGGTGTGTGTCATTGAGCCCATTCTGAAGCACAGAGACCCTTATGCTAGAATGCACTGCCAAAGACTGCTTCCTGTCCGTTGTCCTCTTTCTGAGAAAGGGTCTCTGGTGGTGCTTGTCTGGTAAGTGCTGGACTCCAAAATCACAAGGTCAGTAGTTCAAGCCCACAAGTGGAGCCTGGGAAATCACTAAGGATCAAAATTGACCTGGTGGCAATGGGAGAGAGCTCTAAGTGCACAGATTACCAGTGCTGTTCTCCCAGAGGCTCTCCCGGGCTCAACTCATCAGTTAGCAGTCGAGCAGTTCGTCACTGCCCCACCACGACTCCTTATTATATAACTAGCTATTTACATTATTGGTGTATATTAATGTACATTAATAATAGACAATTATATTTAATTTTTCAATATCTCATCAGAAAGGAAAGTAAAACATTATGATTTGGAGGTTGGAGGGGAGATGAATGTGACCAACAATGGTTCGCTTGATGCCACCACTCAATTCTCATCCTGCAATCAACTGCTAGATGAGGAGCCCCCCCCCCCCCCCACTGGAGCTGCGACATCAGCATAGCTGTCTCCTCCCTGTTGAGCTACAACCTGCTGCCTTGCCTCCAATTTCAGGTTCCTTAATTAGAAGACTGGGGGATGGGGGGCACGGCGGGGGGAATAGTACCAGGCTGCATGTCTTATTGCAAGACATAAGGGCAAGAGGCCTTACCTCAAGTAAAGAATAAATTTCCCGATCATTTCTATCTTTTACTTTGGAGTCATCAGCAAAGTCGTCCATAAAACAGTCTATTAGATTCATTAAGGATCGTACTAAGTTTGTGTTTGAAGTAGGAGATAATTCCTGGGAAACCAGAAAGAAAAGTCTATAATACAAACTACATTCGATTGGGCACTCGTTAAAGAAGCATCCGCGAATACTTACCTTCGAACAACCCCAGCATCCATGAAAAAGTCCTAGGGGAAGTCCAGTTTTCTGGGTGGGCACGCGGTGCTTCCCTCCCCTGGGGCACGGAGCAGTGGAGACGTGCACCACGCCCAGCACCCGGTTCCCGAAGCATGCTTTCCTGTTGGGTTTCCATTAGGAAGCTACTATCACCCATTTGGTTCATGTAGTCAAAGAAACACCCAGGTTCAGGGAGCCAAATTTTGTAAGCCAAAACACTAATAATAATAATAACAATAAAATATTTCAGAGAAAAAAGTTAAATTGCTCATTTGAAATGCTGAACAGCTAAAAACCCAACTTCTCCTCCATGTGTTTGAAATGAAATATGTCACCACTCATCATATGTCCGAGTCCCCTTCAGTTTCACTTTTCCTAATTTTTAGCCATTCAGCCCAATATTTAGACCTAAGGGGTAAGGAGCCTGGAGGATTTGGGGCTTTATTTTAATTAAAAAAAATTTTTTTTTCTGTTAAGTGCTCTATTTTTGGTCCCCACCCCCTTACCATCACTCCCCTCAACCTGTTCCCATTCTCATCCCCAGCATCCTCCTCCCCACCAAAGACCTGTCTGTCTATTGGAGAATAGACCACACGTCTTCTTCACTTTTCCTTTGAACAATGGTAATATTAAAGAATCTTTGGAAGAATGACTGAGTTTGCTAAGCATATTGTTCTCTAGTTTTGTCTATGCTTTGTGGTGTTTTAGAGAGTTATCGCTGTTTTTTACTGATGCATAAAATTCCACAGTATGGATGGACTTGTTTATCCATTCCTCTATAGTTTGGGACACTTCCATGTTTTTGCTATTGTGGAAACTGCTACAATAAATGGTCATGTGTTTGTTCATATTATACTCTTAATTTAATTTTTAATATTAAGATACTGTTGTTTTCTATATATTTTGGAGATTAGACTTTTATCTGTTGATTCTTTTGATATTCTTTTGTTTTGCATAAATGTTATATTTTTTAGTAGGTCCCAGTTCCTAATTTTGTCTTCTACGGTGAGAATATTTTCATTTTGTTCAATAGTGCGTTTATGCTTTGTATTAGAGTCCTTAAGCTTGTCCCTATTTTTTCATTGATGATTTTAGTAATTGTGTGATACATAACTAGTCTTTGATCCATCCTGAGTTTGGTTTTGCACACGCTGTGAGGTACGGGTCGTTTCATACTAGTTCAGGAGAAGATCCAGTGCTCTCCGCATGGTTTGTTGAAAAGGCTGCGTCTTGTCTATTTAATGTGTTTTAGTTCTCTATCAAAAACTAGGTGCCGATAGGTACTTGGTTGTATTTCTGGGTTCTCAATTCTAATATATTGGTCTTCATGTCTGTAATTGGACCAGTACCAGGCTGTTTTGATTACATCTGTATCATAGGTTTTAAGGTATAGGAGAAATGCCTCCTATTTTGTTTTATGTTTTAATAGTGTTTAATGTATTTTAGTTTCTTTCATTTTTTATGTTGGTAGTTTTTCCATTTCTTTGAAAAATTGTGGTGGGATTTTGATAAGGAATTGCATTGAATTTGTACTGTAATTTTGGTAAAAATGGCCTTTTCACAATATTTAGTCTGCCTATCCAGGAACATGGTAACTTGCTCCTTTTGTGTAAGTTCCTTTCAGTTTCCCAAAGGGGTATTTTGTCATTTTTTTGTTTAAGTCTTTGCTTTTGAACATATTTGTAAGGGCACATCCACAACACAGTTCGACTTTAACACACGTGGGATCACCATGAGTCAGAATACGCTCGGGGCAATCTCCCTCCCTCCTCCCTCCTCCCCACCCCCCACCCCAAGCTCCCTTTTACTCTTCTCCCCTCCTTCTCTCTTGTCCAAAATGCCAGTGCACTCCAGGATTCCATCTTTTGCTTTCTTTTTTTCTCTGGATTCTTTTAGGTAACCTGCATTAATATGGTTTTAAAGGCCAATTTCCAAATCTCTAATATAATGAAATGTGAAAAGTTTGTGGGAAAATGGGATTAATAAAGTAATGGAATTCATCTACAATTTTTTGAAACCACCAGGTATGCTGTTCTTATACGATCCTACTTGCCTTCTAGTTCTTTAGGTGCTAAAAGTGAGGTTGGATTTTTTAAATTACATTTTCTGATTTAGAAGTAAAATGTATTTATTTTGGGAACATTAGAGAAAAAAAGAAACCATAAAAATAGATGTTATATTCCAACAACTCACCGAGAAATAATTTTCTGGGGCATTTTAATCAAGGCCTGACAAGGAGGCCTGTGAGATCTTTTGTTTACAGCGATAAGATTAGCACCTATCATATTTTCTCAAATCCCTAAGTGTCACATTTAAATTAGTGTCTGGAGAATAATTAACTACATCAAAATCTTTCTACTTCAACCAGAAAAAAAGTTTTGATCAAACCAGTTAAGAATGTAAATGCCCTGTAGTTGACAATAAGCACTGATAGTAAAATGGATACATTTGGGGAATTTAACTTTTCAACGTTTTCACTTCCCTTACCTTTGTATGCTTTCTAATAAACTCAACAGAAAGCGGGATTATTCTGTCAAACAAGCCTATGATAAATTCCTTCTGGATAGTAGTGACGGAAGGAGGCAAAACGTTGACCCAAGAGAGCATCAGCGGTCTCCAGCCTAACATGTGAGGCTCCATGTAAATCATGCCACATCTGGACACCTGGGAGAAAGGAACGGTTTATCAACAGCGAAATGCTGATCGAGGAAATATGACCGGGGGCACCTGGTGCTTACCATCTTTGAAACACTCTTGGAAAATAAAGGAGCCTAATTTTAATAAAACACCGTGCTCTTAATTTTAGTGGACAATATACCCAATGGTATTTTTGACTCTTAAATTTGTCAAGGTATATGAGCAGATAGGAAGGCTCTCTGAGAATCGGTTGTACCGGAAGTTCTACTGATATTTCTCATTTGAAGTCAAAGGCACAATGTAAGTAAATGTAGAGTATTTCGCAAACATGTATAAGCAGATGTCCAAATTGGAAACTTACAGTGGCAGGAGAAGCCACTTCCAAATCCATTGGTTCGAAAATAAGATTCATCTGCGGTGACATCTGAATAATCTCCCCACTCATCAGGCACAACTTTTTGTTGTCATCCAGGACGGTGTTCATGTTCTCGATCCATACTGCGTCTACTGGCCCGTCAAAAACTAACCACTTTCTGTCCGGAGACTGGTGTGTGTATACAGTGAATAAAAAACAAACACAGAATAAGCGTCATGTAGGAAAACATTCAGTAATAAGGTAAAATTGTAAAATTTGCAAATGTAAAATTGCAACTCCTAAAAGTTAATTTCACCATGTCAATGTAACAGGATGGGATTTCAACAAGCTCATGTGAAAATGAAATGCAAAGATAACTGAATTTTCCCACAAACTTCGTGAAGCCCCTCATAAATTATAGATGTATATACTGCCCCGAAAGAAAGCTATGTATGCATGGTACATCTTGCCTTAAGGTTTAAATTTTTCAATAACTTTGGAAGTAAGTATATGTAACATAGGTTATGCTATTAAAAGCAAAAAATATATATAACTTGCTGAGGAAAACAGAATTTTCATTCAGCATAGCTGATTCTGTGGGATATCGTTCATACAACACACACATAACCCTCTCAGGATGAACTGCCTCATAGTAGTGTAGGACACGAAAATCAATGTAACATTACCAGGACCACAACCAATCTCATTGTACTCTCCCTGTCCTTTCCCTCCCGTCTGATCTGTACACCTCCATAGCCCAGGTGCTTGCTAGCATAGTCTTTGGCGTTTTTAAAGGTATTGGCAATGTTCTTCACAGAAATACTACCAGACTATCCACTAATGTGTTTTAAATAAATATCTAGCTTGTTTGTGGCTCTAGTTCCACTCTTCTTCCATACCTGTTCAACCTGCGTGCTTCTCCATGCACCCACTGTTATTGTCGGAATGTGTATATAAACCACTACTTGCCACACTTCCCCGTGACCTCTTGATAAATTATAAATCACTATTATTTTCATATCTTACAACAACCACTGTCTTCCCTTCCCCCATGATTTCTGTTGTTTGTCCCCCTGGAGGGGGGTGTTTGTGATTATGTGTCAATCATTGCAATTGGTTCCCCCTTTCTCCCCCCCTCTCCCCACCTTCCCCCTACCCTTCTGCTATTGCTACTCCCATTCCTGCTCCTGGATTCCATGTGTCGTGAACTGATCTCTTATCTGTACCTGTGCACACGCTCCGGGCTATCCTGCAGTGAAAGGCAGTACTGGGGTCATGATAGCAAGGGGTGGGGCGGTGGTGGTCATGGTGGTGAGGAAGCCTCAAGGAACCAGAGGAATATTGTGTTTCATCAGTGCTTTACTGCGCCCTGGTTGACTCATCCCTTCCCTGTGACCCCTCTGTGGGGGGATGTGCCATTGTCTACAGATGGGCTTTGGGTCTCTGCTGATACCAAGGGCTCAATAGAAAGTAAATGTCTAGAAAAGAATGATGGCAGCATATGCACACATATGCTTGATACAATTGATGTATGGATTATCATAAGAGTTGTAAGAGCCCGCAATAAAATGATCTTTTAATAAAAAAACTAAAAAAACCTCTTTGTGATTGGTATCTCTAATGGCTAGTGATGGTGCTATTTCTTCATACTCCTTTTGGCCACTTCGATTTTTTTTTAATGTGCTTGTTCATTAAAAAAAAAGCCATTGTTTGTCTTTATGTTATTGAGGAATTAATTCCTTATCGGCTATGTTATTGCTCAAACTTTTCCCCAGTCTGTAGGTTCTCTTTTGATTCTTTAAGTGAAATCTTTTGATGCACACATCAATGACTAAATTTTAGGAGGCTCAGTCATCTAGTATGTCCTCTGCTATGTGTGTATTTTCAGTTATATTTGAGAATATACTGAAGCCATGTAGCTGAGCCCTGAAGTTTCTCACTATGTTTATAGTTTTTGGGTTCACATTTAGGTCCCTTATCCATCTTGAATTTGTTTATTAAAAAGCAAAGATCTCTAACTATAAATATGATATAAATTATTCAAGTGTTTGAACAGAAAAAAAAGGCAGAAGTCAGTCCCCGGAGACAGACCCTTTCTCACAAGCACGCGGAGTGGCAGCGCTTACGGATGAGGAAGCGAACGCCCTAAAGCTGACAGCCAGGACGCCGTCAGACCATTCGTGGGACACTGGGTCGAACTGCCCGTACAGCTGGCCCAGAGTGACAGATTTAGGGTTTAAGACAGTAATCTGGACTTTGTTTTCTTCCATTAGCCCCTGAAATAAAAAATAAATAAAATCAAAGAACAATATAAACAAGTTCAGTTCTTCCTAATAACGCTTTCAAATCTGTCCATCTCCAAAGCTTAAGACACAAGCTGGCAAACTGGGGGGGGG